CTCGAGATTAATCAGAAGAGCCCTGTTTGAAAGGCCAGCGCAGTTGGGCCAAGGCTCCGCTTTGAAGAGGAATTGCGTTGCAATGTTTCTGGCGCGTCTTCAGGAGCGCGAGACATCTGATCTTGCTGTTCAGCGAAGCGTCCAGTGATATTCTACTTTCGGACACAAACTTACATTTGTTGCCATGAACTTTGAAGAATGTTCAAGGATAGCCCCATACAAAAAGGGCCGCCCTGCAGCCGCGCCATGCTACACGTGGTGAAATTATGGGTCTCTAGAGGTCACGAATCTGGAGCGACAGACCCACTTTGGCGACAAAGCCATGGCTCGCAACGTTCCGCTCAGTCAACGAATGCGCGTGGCCCTAAGGCGAGAGTCACCTTTCTGTGAACTTGCGGAAACACATAAACACAAACAAACCTGCATCCCAGAAGCTTGCGCACATGTTGAAGACGAGTTTGCGCGGCACCAGGGCGAAAACCGCATGTACAAGACGATCCCCTCCGGTCTTGAAGCTGCTGCGGAGTGCTGAGAACGGATTCGTTGGCTTACGCCGCATCGCCGACCCCTTTGGGGCGGCAGTACGAGTGAAAAGCGGAGTTCGCGGACCGCGCGCGATGGCTGGGGAATCCTGGGGTCTCGGCTTCTTGAAATTCCGTGGGGGACGGTCGGCGCATCGCTGCTCTGCTTTTGGGCGTCTCTCTGGGGCCCGTCTTTTTGGTGGCGTGCGGGGCTCCATCAGGGGCCTTTTTCAGGAGGCTGCTCTGCAGATTCTCGCGGCCTTAATTTGGGGTCTCTTGGGGGCCTCACGGGGCCTGTCCCAGGTCTCCCACGTCCCCCCCCCCGGACAGGAGGTTGCTTCGCAGTTGTTCGTGGCCTGTTGGGGGTCTCTTTGGGGGCCTCACAGGGCCTGTCCCATGTCTCCCACGTCCTCCCCCCCCCGGACAGGAGGTTGCTTCGCAGTTGTTCGTGGCCTTTTCGGGGCCTCTTGGGGGCCTCATGGGGCCTGTCCCAGCTAGGTCTCCCGCGTTCTCCCCCCGGACAGGCCCGGGGGTCGTCGGGGGCCCCGCTGGGTGGCGCCCGGCCAGAAGTGTCGAGCGTGGACCCCGCCGCTTGCGACGAGGGGCCTCCCGAAGGCCCATGAAGGGGCGGAGAGCGCCCCAACAACTACGATCCTCAAGCCTCGAGCCTCGATCCACCCCTCCTCCTCCTCCTCCTCCTCCTCCTCCTCCTCCTCCTCCTCCTCCTCCTCCTCCACCCCGTGCTCCTCTCTTCGCGAAGGGGTGGCACCGCCCAGGGAGGTCGACCTTCATCCTGGCCCCGAAGACGGCCCCCGGAGGCTGAACTCGAGGAGGAGCCTCTGGAGGTCGAGAGCGTATACGACAATCTACGAATCCTCGGCCGGATGCAGCTCGGAGAACGAATGCGACTGGACCCCGGGAAGGGTCCGGGGGGGCCATGTTGAACGGCTTCTGCGCTGGAAAAACAATTTGTAACAGATTTTTAGGATTTTCGTTTTTGTCGTTGTTTTCGTCGTCGACGGCCCGCCTCCGGGTCCCGGGGGCTTTCAAGAACAGGCCCCGGGTGAGAAGCTGCACCGGATGGACCCTGGCCGGAGTCCGGGGAACGATGTTGAGCAAATGTTAGTTGGGGGAGTGGAGGAGGAGGAGGAGGAGGAGGAGGAGGAGGAGGAGGAGAGGCGTCCTGGCAGCACTTTTGACGCTTCTGGTGTGCCATGTTGGGGCTTTGGGGGGACTCTTGTGGGCCTCTCGGGGCCGTGTGCTCATAATCTTCATTCGGGTTCCCCCTCAGACCCTCCTCTTGAGACCGTCCCGGGGCCCTCGGTGGCTTCTGGGGCCCTCTTGGGGCCCTCTTGGGCCGTCTTGGAGTTTCTTGGGTTGTTGTGGGCCTCGTGAACGGCCAAGAGGCGAACGTACTAAACAAATACGTTTTCCTTCCGGAATGGGACGGTTTTTGCTTTTTGCGGGGCCTCTTGGGACGCCTCCTGGTGACTTCTTCGCGCGTCTAGGGGGCCGTTGGAGCCGTCTCGAGGCAATCTCTGGCGTCTTGGAGCGATTTCCTGGCGATTCGTAGCCCTCTTGGACCGTCGGGGGGGGCCTTTTGGGACCCTCTTGGCTCATTTTGGGGCCCTCGTGGGGCCGTCCATGGGCCCTTCGGGGCCTCTAATTACGTTTTCCATCGGGAATGGGGATTTTCCGTGTTCCTTGACGGCCTCTTGGGACGCCTCCTGGTGGCGTATTGGCCGTCTTGGGGGCCTCTGAGGCCGTCTGGAGGCAATCTTGAGCGTCTTGGAGCGATCTCTCGACGACTCGTAGCCCTCTTTGGACCGTCCAGGAGGCCTCTTGGGACCCTCTTGACTCATTTTTGGGCCCTCTTGGGGCAGTTGTGGTGGTCTCTGGGACCCTCTTGAAGCGGCCCTCTCAGGCTGTCTTGGAGCCCTCTTGGGGGCCTCTTGGGGCTGTCTGGGGGTGGTCTTCGAAGGCTTCTTGGGCCGTTGTGGGCCTCGCGAATGGCCAGGAGGCGAATGTTCTAAACATATACGTCGGGAACCGGACGATTGGAGAGGCCTGACGGCCGGTGCCGCCGACCCTGATCGAAAGGGCTAGGAGTGGGGGGAGGAAGCGGAGGATGAGGAGGAGGAGGAGGAGAAGGAGGAGTAGGAGGAGGAGGAGGAGGAGGAGGGAGGCAGGGCGAAGGGGAGGAGGACGGTAAGAGGTGGAGGAGGAGGAGGAGGACGAGGAGGAGGAGGAGGAGGAGGAAGTGCATCCTTTGTGTGCCCGCTCGAAGAAAGTGCGCCCGGGAGTGTGATATTCTGACTTGGGACGTGCTCCCGGAAGAGGAAGAAGTGCATCTCGGGCGTGCCCGCTCGAGGAAAATGCGCCCTACGGGGGTGGTATTTTGACTTGGGGCCCGCTCCCGGGACGCCCCTGCGGGAGTAGGAGGAGGAGGAGGAGGAGGAGGAGGAGGAGAAGGAGGACAGGAGCAGGAGGAGGAGGAGGAGGAGGAGGAGCGGAGCCGAAAACAACAAGACAGGAAAACAAAATAAAGACAGAAAAAGAAGAAGACAAAACAAAAAAGGAAAGAAAAAAAGCAAATGACTCCAGGAAAAGCAAAACAGACAACGACAAGTACACCACAGAACACAAATCGGCGTGGTAACCATCCTTCCTCCTCTCCTCCGTCCCTCCCACTCTCCCTCCCTCCTCCTCCGTCCCTCCCACTCTCCCTCCTACTCCTCCTCCTCCTCATCCTCCTCCCTCGTCCTCCCTACCTGAGCACGCGAACTCGCCATGCCACCGTCGGGCGACGACGTCCTCCCTTCTCCTTCCTCCTCCTCCTCCTCCTCGTCCTCCTCGGGCTTCGCATTTCGTCGTGACGAGAGGCGTCGGGAACGTGCGGCTCGGCTCCCTGAGAGGAGGAGCGTGAGCCTGAGGACCCTGACAACTCAGGTCGCTGGGTCGCTGGATGCGCGGGAGTTCTTCCAAGACCCCAGTCGCCCCAATAGCCTCCCCCTTCCTCCTCCTTTGCCCTCCGCCGGGCCTCCCCCACCGCCCGCGGCAGCCTCCTCTTAGTCAGCGTCCTCCTCCCTCCTCCCGCCCTCCTCCCTCCTTCCCGCGCGGTGGCGAGGTGGGGGGTCCTGGGGGAGGGCGGTCCTGGCGGTCCTGGGGGGGCCGCTCCCGGGCGGAGGTCCCCGCGCCGTCCAGCAGCGGCTCGGGATCTGATGAGAGCAGGCCCCGTGGAAGGCGCCGGGGTCCAGGGGACACCCTCCGGTGGAGTGTTCCTGGGCCTCCGGGGGACGGCGGCAGTGTGTAGATGACATCACCACTGGGAGCCAACGGCTTTGTACACCGCCGCCCTCGGTACATGCAAAGTTCGTCGTTCGTGCCAACTCCTCCCCGGCACTGTTATCATCCTCGTCACTGGAGGAGGAGGAACAGCAGCAGCAGCAGCGGCGGCAGCAGAAGCAGCAGCAGCAGCAGCAGTCCGCCTCCTCGTCCTCCTCCTCCTCCTCCTCCTCCTCCTCCTCCTCCTCCTCCTCCTCCTCCTCCTCCTCCTCCACGACCTCCCCCCTCCTCTGCATCCTCCTGCTCCTCCCTCTCCTGCTCGAGAGGAGCAGGGGCCGAGGGATCGGCATCGTCTGGGCCGTCCTGTGCCTCCAGGGTGCCGGTGAGCTCCCCCGTCGTCGTCGTCCTCGCCGTCGTCCTCTTCAGGACGGGGAGGAGACGGAGACGGAGGCTTACATATCAGGAGGGGGGAGGAGGAGGAGGAGGAGCAGGAGGAGGAGGAGGAGGAGGAGGAGGAGGAGGAGGAGGAGAGGGAGGAGGAGGAAGAGGAGGAACAATGAACAATGAGCAATCGGACTGGACCCATGTTACGACCTCGTACACTCAGGGCGGCCGAGAGCGGTTGGCTGCAAGCAATTCGAAAAGTTTGAGATCAGCCACTTCAAAAAGAGGTGCCAGGGCACAGCTAGGACCCAACGGGCTCCCACACGGGAGGCGGGGGAGGAGGATGGGCAGGAGCAGTTGAGGAAGTATGGGGAGAAGGAGTAGCGGCTGCAGGAGGTGGATGAGGGGAGGGGGGCGGAGGGAGGGGATAGAGGAGGTGGAGGAGGAGGAGGACGAGGAGGAGAGGAGAGGAGGAGGAGGAGAAGGATGAAGAGGGCGGCGAGGGGAGCAGGGGGTAGGGTGAGGAAGGGGGAGGAGGAGCAGGAGGAGGAGGAGGAGGAGGAGGAAGGAGGAGAGGAGGAGAGGAGAAGGAGGAGAGCTGGGGGGTGAGAGGAGGAGAGGAGGAGGAGAGGGGAGGAGGAGGAGGAGGAGGAGGAGGAGGAAAGGAGGAGGAGGAGGAGGAGGAGGAGGAGGAGGAGAGGAGAAGGAAGAGGAGCTGGGGGGTGAGGAGGAGGAGGAGGAGGAGGAGGAGGAGGAGGAAGAAGATCAAGGAACAGGGGGAGAGGGAGGGGCAGCCCAGTGTGCCCGCCCAGGAATAACCCGCGCTTCGGGGAGCTTGCCCGGATGGTGGCCCAGAACCCTCAGATGTTGGCGCGCCCCAGCGGAGATTCATCGGCGTCGTCGTTGTCGTCGTCGTCGTCGTCGTCGTCGCGTCGTCGTCGTGTCGTCGTCGTCGTCGTCGTCGTCGTCGTCGTCGTCGTCGTCGTCGTCGTCGTCGTCGCGTCGTCTTCACCGTCGTCGTCGTCGTCGTCGTCGTCGTCGCCGTCGTCGCCATCCGTCGTCCGTCGTCTTCGTCGTCGTCGTCGGCGTCGTCGTCGTCGTCGCCAGGCCGCAGGTCTGGGTCGTCGACGTCGTCGTCGTCGTCGTCGTCGTCGTCGTCGTCGGCAACGCCAATTCGCGCGTTCTTCCGGCTTGGGGCGCGGAACTTGCGAGGCTCACGGCAACGGTACGGCAGCAGACACCGCGCTCCGCCCCCCGTCCCCAGGAACAGCCACCAGGTGTGCGTGCCGCTGGCCTGTTTGCGGCGCTCACGCTGAGTCACACTGGCGGGACCCCTCGGACCGAGCACCCGTTCCGGGCGGCGGGCGCACCTCTGTTCACAGCCTCGCGGTCACCGCGTGGTAGCAGGCACCGCGCTCGGGCATCCCAGGGGTGGGTGTGGCCAGACTGCGTCGTCTTTTTCCGGGCCCCTTGGGAACGGAATGTGTGGGGAGCCTTTTGGGCGGAACGCGCCCCTGGGGCGGTGGGCTCGCCTCTGTTCACAGCCTCGTGGTCTGCGCGTGCTGGCAGGTGCAGGCAAGACGCTGAAATAAGCAACAGGTTGGGTGCGGCAGGGGTTCGGTAGTCCTTGGGTCTTTCCAAGGTTGTTCCTTGGGCCCTCCTCGTGCTCCCAGGCCTGTTTGGTGCCAAAAGGGCCTCGAGCCCTCATCGTGCTCCCAGGCCCTTTCGGTGCCAGAGGGGGGCGTCGTTTCCTTGTCAAGCGTTCCTTACGGCAGCAGCCCGGCTATACGGTGCCTGGGCTTCCAGGCAGCGGGAGCGACCAGGGTGTTATGGCACGGGTCTGGTCACTCCCAGGCTGCCCCGTGCCCGCCCGAGCGGAGCGCGCGTTTGGACGTTTGGTTTCGTTTTGAGCAGGCGGAGGTAGAGGAGGTGAGGAAGAGGAGGAGGAGGAGGAGGAGGAGGAGGAGGAGGAGGAGGAGGGGGAAGAGGAGGAGGAGGAGAGGAGGAGGAGGAGGAGGAGGAGGAGGAGGAGGAGGAAAAGGGGAGGAGCAGGAGGAGCTTGGTGAGGAGGAGGAGGAGGAGGAGGAGGACGAGGAGGAGGAGGAAGAGGAGGAGCTAGGGAATGAGAGGAGCAGGAGGAGCTCGGTGAGGAGGAGGAGGAGGAGGAGGAGGAGGAGGAAGAGCTGGGGGGTGAGGAGGAGGAGGAGGAGGAGGAGGAGGAGGAGGAGGAGGAGGAGGAGGAGGAGGAGGAGGAATACGTGAAGACCACGGCTTCAATTCGGCGTGCTATTCCGAGCATCAGGGTGCGTGCCTCGCGTGGGTCCATGTCTCTTGGGGGGTTATGACTGTTAGTGTCACGCCGCCGCCTCGCTCTCTCGAGCCCCGCTCCCCCACTCGCCTCCTCCTCCTCCTCCGCCCCGTTCAACGCTCAAGGCCCAGACTCGATCGGTCCCAGCCGATCAGATTCATACCCACGTCCTCACACTCACTCACAGCCATCAGTTCACATGCAGGCTCGCGCAGTTACACACTGAGTTGCGTTCAGCCGCTCAATCTAAGACTCGCTTATATCCGGAATCCGGACCTCTTGTATACCCAGCCAGGCATATCTGGAGCTACCCATACCCAGGCCCACTCATGCTCAGCCACGCCCTACGTGGACTCATCATCAGAATCACTCCGACCCGGCCACTGATATTGGCGCCCACGCGCACCCAGACTCATTCATGCTGGTGTGTTTTCTCGTCCGTATTCGCCCATAGTTGATGCAACACAAATAACGCATTGATAACAGTATGTGCACGCATGGCGACGTCAGCATACGGAAAACATGGTGCAGGAACGGGAGGATCGGGGCCATGACGAGCTGAGGGAGGAAGGATCAGGAGATTAGGACTGGAGGGGGAAGTGGATCGCGAGGAGTGAGTGGAGGAGCTGTGGGGAGTGGGAACGGGAGCAGGCAGGGGTGGAGGAGGAGGAGGAGGGGGAGGAGACCAATGATGAGGCGGAGCAAGAGATTGATGTGCACGTTTGGGAAGAGGGAGGGGCAGAGGGCGGAGGAGCAGCAGGGGGGAGAGGAAGATGCGAGGGAGGAGTCTGTGGACGAGAGGTGGACAAAAAGAGGAGAAGGGGAACTAGCAGGCGGGAAAGCAGGCTTCGGAGGGGTCTTGGACGGGCGGGGGTGGTGGTGGTGCTCCTAGGCAGGATGAGCAGGGGGAAGATGGGGAGGAGCAGGAGGGGGAGGGAGAGAGGGGAAGAGAGGGCGAGTGAGGGGCAGACGGGGGAACGGGGGTGAAGATGGGGGGCATGGCGTGATCCCGCCCCAGGCCCCCGTGACAAGCATGTCGTCCGTGCGAGCGTTCCGCTTCACTGTGTGGGAAGCCCCCGCCCCCCGCGAGAAGAGCGCCCCGGGGGCTCGCCGTCTAAGCGGGAGCCCCGCGTTGTACAGGAGCCGCCCCCACGCCGTTAGCCGTCAAGCCCAGGTCTTGTTTCCAGAGAGAGCAGGCGTTCCAAAGAAGAGCCACTCCGACCCGCGTAGCACTTGCGGCTGGCATCTGGCCACGGGCTGTGCAGAACTCGAGCGAGATCCCAGAATTTGAAAATTGGCAGCCTCCCATACTCTCGAGCGTCGCAGGGTTCAAGCGTATGAGTTGCTATAAGCTCATGCGGCGAACGGGATCCGCCGGCGCCGCCTGGGCAGAAACGACCAGCCCGCGGCAGAAGGCGTTCGCAATCAGAAGCACCACTCTCTTGCTGTTAGCCACCACCTGGGATGGACAAATTTACATTATGCAAAAAGCCCTGCAACTACAACTACGCAGAATCGCCAGCGAGGATTTAAAGGGAGGTACACTTACTTTCTACTACGAATGCTGAGTCTAATTTGGAGGCAGTCTACGACCAGTATCACGACGACGACTACCGCAATTTGTACACATAGTGCGAATGCAATGGAGAATGAATGACACGAGCGAGAAATCCCAAAATAGTACTGGCAGAAATGAGTCTGTGAAACAACTATCAATGTACGATTAGATGCGGGTACCAATCGTCGTAGTAACCGTGACCACTGGTGCAAATACCGTTTCTAATATTGCCATTGTTGGTGCTACCACCACTGCTACTACTACTGCAGCTACTACTACTACCACTACTGCTGCTACTACTGCTCTTATTCAATCGCTTCGCTCATCCCGCCGGCCCATATTGTAGCATCGCTGGCACTTGCTTGCGTGCTTGGGAGGGCATTTGGAGGGCCTCCTGGGGCCGCTTGGGGGCCTCTTGGGGGCCTCCTGAGGGCCTCGTGTGGGCATCTAAGGGCCTCTTGGGGGCCTCTTGGGGCCTCTTGGGAGCCTTTCGGGGGCCTCTTGGGCGCTCCTGGGGGCCTCTCGGGGCCGAAGGCTCGAAATATCCGTGCGGGTCTCCCGTCTGGACCCCCTCTTGGAACCGTCTTGGGAGCCTCTTGGGCTGTCTTGGAGGCTAGTTACTAGTTGGGTCGTCTTGGGGCCCTCTGGGGCGGTTTGGGGGCCTTCTTGGGGGCCTCTTGGGCCGTCTTGGGGCGATCTTGGGTGCCTCTTGGGCCGCTTTTCACGCTGTGAAAGCTCAAGTGGCGAATCTGCTAAAACTATACGTTTTGCCGACGGAATGGGGCGATGTTTGCCTTTGGGGGCCCTCTTGGGACGCCTTTTTGGGGCCTGTTGGGGCGTCTGGGAGCCATCTTGGGCGTCTTGAAGCGAGCGCGTGGCATCTCGGAGCATTCTTGAACCATCTTTGGGGGCTCTTGGCGGCCTCGCGGCCCTTCTTGGGGCTCTCTGGAGGGCCTCGAGGGCGGCGCCCAGGAGGAAAACCATCTCTGAGTCGGACCGCCCGGGACCTGCCCGGGACCTTGCCGGGTACTTTTCGTCCGGGGACCCCCAGGGGCCGCCCGTGCGCGCGCGAACTAGAAATACTGTTAACCAGTTACCGGAGATCTTATCACGCCTCTGGCCAGTCGGGCCGGCGAAGTACGACTACTACTGCTCTCACTACTACGACGACGACTACTACTACTACTACTACTACTACTACTATTACTACTACTACTACTACTACTACTACGACGACTACTATTACTACCACTACTACGACTACTACTACTACTACTACTACTACTACTACTACTACTACGGCTACTACTACTCTACTTCCATTACTACTACTACTACTATTCGATTTATTACTACTACTACTACTACTACTACTACGACGACTACTATTACTACCACTACTACGACTACTACTACTACTACTACTACTACTACTACTACGGCTACTACTACTCTACTTCCATTACTACTACTACTACTACTACTACTACTACTACTACTACGACTACGACTACTACTACTACTCCTATTCTTACTACTACTACTACTACTACTACGACGACTACTACTACTACTTTTGCTACTACTACTACTACTACTACTACTACTACGACTACTACTACTACGACTACTACAATAACTACTACTACTACGACTACTACTACTACTACTACTACTGCGGCTACTACTACGACTACTACTGCTATAACTACTACTACTACTACTACTACTACTACTACTTCTACTACAACTACAACTACTACCACTACCACTACTACTACTACTACTGCTGCTGCTACTACTGCTACCACTACCATTACCACTACCACTACCACTACCACTACCATTACCATTACCATTACCACTACCACTACCACTACCACCGCTACTACTACTTGTACTACTAGCACCACCGTTACTACTACTACTACTACTACTACTACTGCTACTGCTACTGCTATTACTACTGCTAGTACTACTACTACTACAACTACTACTACTACA